AAGTCCGCGAGTAAAAAAGTCCACCACCAATATCTCAAGAAAAAGTAAAGTTACGAATTTTTTAATAACAATATTTGAAAGTAGAGAGAAAAGGATGTATAATCAGCCATCGCCTTGGTTCTTACGACGACAGTGTTTTAAAATTCATAACAAAAGTATTTTCCTTCATGGTCAGTTTTTTGGTTGTGAGCACTGTTGTTTAATTTACGAGACCTTGATATAATATTCAAATATACGTTATTTAATTGTTTTATAAGATGTATTGTTATTTTTAAGTTAGCTCTATAAAAGCTTACTTATGTGTGGGGTATAAAGGACCAACTGAAACGGCAAAGTTGTAAACAGTAAAGAAATTTATTGAAATGTAGCTATTATTTCGTAAAATCCCTTTAAATTTAAAATTAAGACATTAGATCTATTTGTCCCCTTTACAAAAAACAGTAAAAAATAGTTTAACTGTTTAATAATAAGTAATTTCTATTTGCTTGTTTAAAACGCGTTATGGAAATTAATTCAGAAAACAAGATATCTAAATGTTCATCAAATAAATATTATATAGATTAACCAGTTAACTGAAGGTAACTTAAGGTAAAACGGCACAAAATATTATATTCTAAATATCTTGAAATTTGACGACGAGTATACTCGTTTAACCACAGTTAACTGGTTAATAAGTATATTAATTTTATAATATTTTAAAAAAGAGATAATTTCTTATCATAAGTTAATACGCATTTTTTTAACAATTTTCATCGTTATCTCTTGTTTTCGATATACTCAAAAATCTCTCTTTACCAGCGCTTGTATAGCTTCAAAACTATTTTCTGTGCAATAAATTCGCATGCCGATTTGCGTTATTATGCGCATATTTCGGAACACAAATATATTTTGGTCGGTATTCACGTGCCCGCGCATATTTTACTGAATATTCTATATATCTCTAGTTTTGTTTTATTCAGCGTGATTATATTGAGCGCATATTTCTACTCGTGGGTTAATAACGCCCGTTCATACGTGATCACCTACCGGAACTGGCAAATTTATTTTGCGGATGAAATATCAATTGGAAAGTGAATTATTTTTAGAAAAGTTAAGAGTTTTCAAGTATCACTAATATGAATGATAAGCGATATACTTTTTTATATATTTCTAACATAAAAAAGTCTAAATAAATACATTTTATTATTCTTTATTTAGTTTTTATAATCAACTAGTATGTAACCGCGATTAACCCTTTCCACTCGTACATTGCAATGCGCAGACAATTATATCACTATTCCATATTATAATAATTTAAAAGATTATAAATAATTCTGAAATTCAGTACTTTAGGGTTCATGTTAAGTAACTTAAATTTATAATATGATTAAATCTGATATTACAAAACATTTTACGCCAAGTGGTACGAAGTACTTCAGCAATTCAGTGAGCACAGAGAAATGAGCGCGCAACTCATGACAACTGTAGAAATTTGCTATACTATGCAGATATTTCGAATAGAAATTCGCATTGCATCATAGAGATTTTAAACAGAATTTTGGAGTGCAACACATATCACATGAATTCGTTTGAAGACACAGTTAACAACGTTACATTAGTGAGATTTTACTATGAACATATCATTCCGACAAACGTATCAGATTAAATCTTCACATATTCTCTAAGAATAGTTACAAGCGTATTACTTTACAATTCTGTAGAGAAGAAACATTTAACAACGGATGAACAATGTAATCCACGCTTTGTCTCACGACGCGACGTTAGGAATTATACGACGAAACTATATGGTACAAACATATACATTTAATATATATAAATACATACAAATATATTTTTATATGCACACCAGTATATGAATATGTATAAAATCTTCAAAGGCACTACATCAAATAGAAAAGATTTTTAGAGAATCTATATGTTTGACGTAAGATTCGATGCCATCATTAGTGGATGAGAACATCAAACGCTCACATTGTTTTATATACACTACAAACAGAATTAGCACTAGCATGTACCACTAATCTTGTGAATAATCATAGATTATGTTTGAGACATCAATTCTTTTTTTAAATCAACACATAGGAGGCTAGGATTTTTTGTGTTTTCAAACTTATTGTAGACAAATTAAATAAAAATTAATACTTATTTACCTAATTTAAGCCAGCGGTAACGTAACCAGTAACGACGTGGACTAGCACAAACCAGTCCCGAGTTTCATCCCAACCTCGGCCAAGCACTTCATCAGGCACCTTTATGTCAAATTTTCACTTGAGTTTACAGATCTCAAATATTATCTCAAGTGAAGATCGCTTTACGCAGGCATAGCTGCAATTAAATTAAAAAGTCAAAAAATACTATTAAATATAAATAACAACATAGGGCAACTACTGTGTTGCCTACCAAAAACAAGCCATTCATTTCATTTTCATTGCAATGCAGAATGATACGAATGCTATAGCATTCAAATTTTAAAGTCAATTATTTTGAATTTAATGTATATAATCATAAGTTTTTGAAATTATTATACCTGTCAATGTAATGATTACTGACTAACTAATTCTTTTTGTATTTTCGTTTTTATTTTTTCTTTTAGTCTTATTTTATTTATTTATTTTATCATTTTCTGTAGTCATAAACTAGCTTTGGCAAGCGAAAAATTTGGCATGATAATCTGACTACCCTTATGAACAGTTATGGAATTTCGGATATCACAACTAATTTGAAATGACTGTCAATTTTTGTACCTTGCTGAAAAAGGTAAAACAAACATCGAGATTGACCCATATTATTCGAAATCACATATTGGACGGAGTGATTTGTGGAGATGAATTTTGGCATTCGTAATAAAGGCAAATCATGGTTTCAATCACTTTTCAAAGATAATCTATTTAATTTTTTAATAAAATTTATTATTTTGGTATATTTACACTAATTTCAGGATTATAAAAACTGAATGTTGAAAATAACTGAATATTGAAAAATCATCCACAAAAAAAACAGTATATATATAATATGTTCAAATGTATATATTCATATATGTATGTTTTGATTTTGTTAGTGTTTCTGGCTTTGTCTTGCACGTAGAGTTGTCGTAACTCGAGGCATGTTTGTACGCATGTTTAATGGTAGAGCGGGCACGGGCCTGTATTGATCTAGGCGGCTGAGTCTCGCAGACGCGTCGGGCTACGCGCTATGTACGCGGTCGCTTCCCTGCCACGCGCGGGTTGCTTCTTTCACTTTTTATTCCGCCGTCATCCCAATTGACCAAATGAGATCATCCCATCGCAAACCAATGGTAATGGTAATTCACCATAGTTAAACCAATTGGTTAAACGGCAATTGCAAATTAATTGCAATAGGAAATTAGTCATTAAAACATTTACATCATCATTTTTATTTATTTTAGGACTATGACTTCGAACATAAAAATATTTTTCATAAATAAACTTTTTTATGTTTTTTGTTAAGTTTAAAAATGTTGTACAATATAAATTTATTGAATTCTTAGATTTTAAATCACAATCCCCATAAATAAATTTTTGTTAACACATCAATGAAATAGTTCATATTCATGGTCTGTAGAAGCAAGAAATAATAGCAGACCTAAACATATTTCAAAGTTTGTAGATATCCTGGTACAAAAAATTATTGTTATTAATCGTTGTGGTACAAAATCTCTGTCATTTCCTATTTCCTATCTCTCCTGCAAGTTTGCCAGGAGTCATCCTGAGCAAATAGCGCAAGAAGAGCGCAGAACATTTAAGAATTACTCGCATATATGTATCAATCGCAGACGCTCTGGAGAGATACATTGAAGGAAACAAATGTCCTCCAAAGGCATTTCCGTGTCGGTGACAATGGCTGCAGTTGGATTTTAATTCCAAGATGGCGCGCGGCTTAACGAAGATTGACACAGGCGAACCCCCAGCGGGGGACTGGCGCGCACCGTGTATAATTTTCATATGGAATATAATTAAATCCCGAGGTTTAATGTATTTTGTGGATTTTATTCCTGCACTGAAACAATGAACAAACGATGTGTACAACAAAATGGCGATTACGCATACAACTCGTACCCAACGTATGCGTGGAATTTTTGTTATTCGTAATTAGTGGCAGAACAAACTCTGGCAAATTATATCGCATGTGAAGTTTGCAAGCACGTACGCGTACAATTAGTGTATTCTCGTATTTAAGTTTATGTTATTTATTCATACAATTTAAAACCAAATAAACAAGATGTTCGAGTCGGCGCTATTAATATTATATGACTGTGAGGCTTTTAGTATTCATGATGTTTGTCGGTGCTTTGTTGCTACATCTCTCTATATATGTAATTAAATTTATGTATTTAAGTATTCCGCAATGGGTAGTTGCTTATTAAACATACACTCGCTAAAACGTACGTAGTACCCTTACGCAAGAAGAGTTACATAACTCAAAAACTACGATTTGCATTCGAAACGCAAATAAAACTATAACCCATAATAATATTTAATGAGTCGATACTACACAGGCTTAAAAAATACTTTGTTATAATATTAATAAATGCTAGTCTGCCTGAAAGCAAATCTATGGTGTGAGATCAATTATTTCCTTTCCCTCCCTTGTTTATTATTATCATTACAACTTTTCATTTCCACTGATCACTTTTTATACACATTTTATGCATTTTCCTTTCCATACTTTCTTCCTCTGTTAATTAGTCATCTGTATTCTTCCAAATCGTTTTGGTCTTTCTATTTTACCTTCAACGACATCCTGCAGGAGGCACTCATTTTGCAGAATGGGTCCAATCCAGTTTCTTTGCTTTTCAAGTTTGTGCTCAGTACAATTCTTTCTTCTCTACTTTCCTCAGTACTTCATTTTGTATTACAGTAACACAAAATTCTAATATCAATTTTATTCAATTTTATTCAATTCTTTGTTCTATATTTATTATATATTTGTTATTGCTATTAAAGTCATTATTAAACAATTTTTTTCGATTTTATTTTTAGGTTTGGTTTAGTAACAGGCGAGCTAAATGGAGACGCGAGGAAAAACTTCGAACCCAAAGACGTACGAGCGATCATCCAGTGGGAACGAGTCCGCCGGCACCACCAAGCAATCCGCCGCGGTTGCCTCTGCAAAGCGGGTTTAATTCTATGTACTCATCTATACCACAACCTATTGCAACGATGGCCGACACTTATAGGTGAGAATTAACATACTATATAGAATTATAAACAAAATTTTAAATTTAACTATTAACACATTTTACATAACAATTCAAAATATAATGGTTTGTCGAAATCTTTTTACATTTTTTTTTATTATTTTCTTATCGGAAAAAATAACATAATTTCCAGTTTAATCGTTGTTCATGATTTATATTCAAGACATTAAACAATATAACATTTTTATGTTGTAATTGCGATGTCGAACGGCTGGAATTAAAATGGTAATATTATTATTCATAAACCATAACATACCCGATTGTATTTAAACTGCTACATATAAATATGCTTCTTAATATAATAGAAAACGAAAAAATAGAGTTGGAACATCGGACCCGTATAGTGATGGTCTATCGCCTTCTCGAGTAAATCCCTTATAAAGCCGTGACTGACAGGCCGACGTCCTTAGCTGTTACGTCGCTTGAATTTCCCAATGGAAAGTCAGATAGCGAACGCGCGTCGGCCATCGGCATGGCGCTCACGTGCGGACGCCAAACAAATCGAGCCAAAGGCCGCGCGCAAACGGAAGCCCGCAAACGTGATGAAACCTAGATGAAATCTATATAAATCGCTACAAAACCTCGGAACATTTGAGCAATTTTTCATAAGAGACAAGAAATACTATAGTATTCAAGTTTGCGAAGTTATCTGCAAACACTATAAGATTTTTAATTTTACATTGCATTATGTGGTTATTTTTTATATAAAATTTTTTAAATAATATTAACATCTTGTCGATCACTAGATTTAAGCAATTCTATAAAAGTGTATTGATTAGAAACTTTGGAATATCAGCCGTCAATTAATGCAAGTGGCGGTAAAGTAAATATAAAGTAATAAAGTGCTTTAATACAAATTATTAATTTAATTACATCATCCTAAATATTTAATTTCGTAACATATTAAAGATATATTATACGAATGGTATGAACAAAATAGTTGTTTTAATTAATAAATTAATTATAATAATGTGATAAAAATAAGGTTAACATCAAATTAATAAAAAAGAAATCAAAATTTATGCTTACTTTCTTTGAATAAAAAGGTTTCTCTGTTAATTTATATATTTTTCACTTGCTTATTACTTAAGTAGTAAGCTTTTCCGTGGATTAGTAAATGAGGCTATGGGATATCAATTAGAAGTCCCAGGTTTGATACACGCCTCAGGCAGCCTGATGCCAAGCTTACTATGCCAAGCTTCGTATTACAGAAATTTTAATAATAAAATTCATCACATAGAGATAGAACAACTGTTTGAGTTGACATCTAGAAATCGACGTAGTCAATCAAGTCAAATCATCACAACAGCTTATAGGGCAACCCTTAAGTTCTGATCTCTGCTCAAATAAGATAGAAAAAAACATTATTTCTGCTTTATATAAACAAAAAATACATAGCATTAATAAATTTATTTTATTTTCAGTCCAATATCATCATCGTTGGGTTCTATGACATCAAGTTGTCTGCAACAGCGCGAAAGTTATCCGTACATGTTCCCTGATGCCTTGCATTCCTTGGGAGCCCCATATGGTCATTCGAGGCCGCCATGCAATCCAGCCGCCGCACATCAGCAACCACCGCCCAATCCTCACGCTTCTTACGGCAACCCGGTCAGCGCCGCAAATAGCACAGGTGAGTCAACTTATTAACTTGATCAGCTTATTTTTCATATTATGATAAAGGTTGTTTTAACACTTTTTGAATAGAATAAGTTTGCGTTTACGATTCGTCTCAGAAATTAAAAATCGATTATAAGTTTATCGACAGATTAGCGCAATGCTGAAGTCATGAAATATAAAATTTAAATTCAATTTTCAACACAAAATGTTTATTACCGTCATTAGATTGAAAATGGTAATATATAAATATACTTCATGACGGAAACCTTATATCACATAGTTTTTGGTATACATATATACAAGAATACAAAACCTGCGTTAGTAGTGGCGACACTTAAAAAACCCTCTCCATATTATAACCGCACTGCTGAGTTCGCGGCTTGGTATAATATATGCGCAAACTATGAAAACTGAATAAAAAAGCAGATATTTCATAATGCGGTAACTAGCTCCAGTCACCACCGCTGCGCTCTTGCGCCCTGTCTTCCTGGACGAATGCCATTTTGCAAAAACCAAGCGAAGACATTATCCGGAAAGGGAACGCGATCATAGTAATAAAACCCCACAGAACAAGTAATAAAAAGACACAAAAAACAAAGTAATTCTCGGCAATGACTAATAAAGTTTTTGTATACATATTCTTCAAAAATGACCGTAAAATTGAACTACGCACAAAATTCTTACATAAGAAAATTACCTACACAGTATATATACTATTATTGTATTCAGGTAAATCCCGCATAACACGGAACTTCCATAGCATGGATCCGCTATAACACGATTCGAGAATAGAAACTAGACGCCCTTACAACACGGTTCTTTTATAACACAGTTTGACTCTAATATGTTACGAGAATTGAGCAAACCTAATAAACTATGAAATATAATAAAAGCAACTGAATGCGAACTTTATCTAATTTGAAAGCGAAGTCAACGTACAACAGCTAAATAATCATAAAGACACCTAATTAAACATTTTTCATTCGAGCGCGTACGTTATAACGTCAAAAGGCCTAGGCTTACCTGGACCTAGTTAGTCATATTTCATAAATTAAGATTATTCAAATGAATAAGCACGAAATTTCACAAGTGATTCATATAAAAAAATCATAAAGAACTTTTCACTGGAATAAAGAATTAAAAAAACACCAGATTTTTCACAAAAAAATAGAGTAAAACACCTAATTTTATATTTTCCATTCGGGCGCGTACGTTTTAACGGAAAATGGCCTAAGCTTACCAGGACAGTTAGACATATTTCATAAGTAAAAATTATACAAATGAAATAAGCACGAAACTTCACAAGTGCTTAGATTTATGTAAAAAAGTCGTAATGAACTTTTTACTAAAATAAAGAAATAAAAAATAACAGATTTTTCGCAAGAACAAAAATAGAGCAGGTTTCTGAAGAAATGCGCACAGTATGAGGATATGCTTCCCAAACAAAACGCTCGCGTTGAATAGCTCTTAGTTACGACAAAAAAATAGCATTTAATATGTATTCCTTCTTTAAATAATAATAAATATTTATGTATTATGAACATATAATATGCATCATAATTTTCAAAATTTTTGGAACCCCTCTTTATGCACTAGTCCTTTATGCACTTAGTCATATAATACGGATTCGCATAACACGATACTTTTTTGAAATGTAGCTTGTATATATGTTTTTTTTGTGATTACTTAATTCTTATTAAAATAACCGAGAATATTCCCGTAAGCTTAACGCTTACTATCATTTTATTATGTCAGTTAATTGCCTTTTTCGATTTTATGAATGCCGTATTAACTGTAGATAAAAGCAAATGATGGACTGGGTAGATAAAAAATTAAGAAACGTTCACTATAAAAAATATTCTATACCCACTTACATAGTTGTGGGAATTCATTTGGTAGAAGACAACTTTAGCTAGAATAAATACTAATAATACTCAAACTAAGAAAAATTCAATATCGAAAAATTTGTTTTTCAGGAGTGATATCAGCCGGTGTATCAGTTCCCGTTCAGATCCCGTCTCAAGCGCAGGAGTTATCGGTAGCGAACTACTGGCCGCGTCTCCAGTGATCGCAGCTGTTCGGGTTGTCACCAGCGCGCCTGCTGACCAGCCCACGCCCGCTCCCCCCTCCCGCTGCAATCGAACATCAACCGCCAACATCAGTGACAACGCACCACTAAAAACAAAACCCAAAAATTTCACAATAATTGATTTACTCAAAATTGGAACAAGAAATAAATTTACCGTGGAAGAAAATCTACCGTTTCAGACCGAATTGGTCGATTTATGCTTCAGGGATGATCAAATAGCTGTCTACTCAAATTCTTATACAAGAACGATAGATGATTTTTATCAATTATGAAATGAACATTGCATCCAAGTTAAAAAGCCATAGTTAAAACATCGATTCAATGCTCTAGAAACAGAGGAAATAATATACTCAAAAATTGAGCAACAAAAATGAAACTTTTTTTAATTATAGAGGATAATCTTGAGTCTCAGGTGTAAAATATAATAGAAAATTTGCATAGATAATTCATTTTATTTGAAAAAATATTATAAATTGAAACAATAATGTAAAGCAATAGAGTTTTAAAATAATCAACGATCGATGTGAGTTTGAGAGTAATAAAACAAGAAATGGAAGATAGAAAAACATCTTGTAAAACTTCTGAGAAAAAACGTATACGTTGTTATAATCTGGTGAAAATAAACAAAATTAACAATAACAATGCGAATTCTTCAGTAACGAATAAAATACATACTAATATACATTTTCATGACTTGCATGTAAATAAAATATTGTGACCGGTGAGCTCCGTACGATTTTTCGTCGCCTAACATTTTTGGTGGTTCGAAGTTTAAGTGGCTGTTACGTAAAGATACTGAAATGTTAGAGATGTAATTAGAACTTTATTATTTTATATGTGTATAATATATTATGATTATTTTAAGGTGTGTTTTTAATTTATATTGTTATTAAAATTATTAATTGTTCCGTATTTATGATGTATTTTGAATGCATTAGTTATTTAAGTATTATAAACTAAAAAAATATCTGGAATTCCAAAAATGTAGCTTGTTTTTATTTCGAAGCATACGCATTTTTAGAATTTCGATCATCAGCGAAATAATTTTGTTTGCTTGATAATTATTTTATTACTCATTAAAGCAGAAATGATTAATAAAATAGTTATTTGAATTTATTCAAAATTACTCTCTAAACATTAATTTAATTCATTTAGTATACGCTAAACGTACAAGATAACACAAGTATTATAGAATTTTACATTCCAGTTGAAATAAAAAATGCCTTTCCAGTATGAATTTTATTTAATTTTTAATTTTGAATCAAACTCAGGTAACTAAAAATGCTTAAAATTTGTATTAAAAGTTTATGTTTAGAGAGTTTTTTTCCAAAATGTTTTTAATTTGTCAATTATTTAAATTCTGTTCATATCTCTAATTGTAAAGCAAATAGATCGACAAGTGGGTAAATTATTTATTAAATATTGAGATAAGAACTTTTGGAATAAAATTAATATAATAAAAAAAAATTAAATATATGAATAAATTGATGCGGGTGACAGGGTTTATACAGACAAGTATTACTACATGAACAAATACATGGCCATTTCAAACAAGCGAATTTTATTATCATTTCATAATTTTTGTGCCAAACCAGTTCATGAAGCAATTTTGACGTTCAATACTGCATTAAAGACAAAGAAATATTAATAATTTATATGATACTAAATTCGAAGAAAATAATTTAGTTAAAATTATAAATTAGTATACTACGTGTAAATATCAATCGTTAATTTAATTGTTTTAATTAAGCTTCTATGTACATATTACGATGTCCTGTTTTACCTTATATAAAAGCTAAAGATAATCTCTCACACTCTTCTTATGCCATGAATTTTATCTTTACTGTATAAACATTTAAAATTTGATTAATTTTTAAAATCGAACTATTATTAAAGGTAAGAAACAATGATTTTACACAAAGCTCATATTTTGAAAATAAAAACCCTGTATGAAATAGCATAAATAAAATAATACGGAAAAACTAATTTTCCTAAGAATTTTTAAAACAAATTATCCTATTAAATAGTACGCAAAAATTGGTGTTGTGACATAATATTTGTTGCTGTGATTACATTATTAGATCTGAATAAAATGCATAAATCATAAAGAAAATGAAAAAAAATCTGTAGACTACATTTTAGTTATATTTTTAAATGAGAATCTTGTTAGCTAGACAATTGTTGACGAATGTTTTTTCACAGTGTATTCAGCAATAATTCGTTCGAAAAGCATTCTCGCTCCGTACATATATGTAACTTTATGTTAAATTCGCTTTTATTCTTTGTTAATATTACTAATGGGTATATCAATGGATTAAAACAAAAACTAATAAGATGAGGGTATGCGATGATTTTATGAGAATTTAGCAATAGTTACTGTTTGCATTGATGTATGTATATAATACACCGCAGATTTTTGACAAGTGATAGTACTATTATCTGTAACGAAACGCATCGTCATTTGATAGGTATGCAAGTAACTTATGAATGCAGGAATGGAAAGAATGAATGAATTTCAAATAATTGTGTTAATACTATTAGGTTAATAAGTTCAAATACATTTCATATTATGTCTGGTGTATTTGTACATTATATTGTAAAAAGCAATATAAGCGTTTCTCTAATATTTAGCAGACATTCGAATCAAATAACAAAATTTAACAATTGTGTAGCTAAGTATTACAATACAAATTATATTTAAATCGATATGTGTAGTTCACCAATAAATATATAAAGTAACAAGAATTTCTTTTAGTTTCATTATTATTAATTTGTAGCAAAAGGAGCCAAACACGTGTCAAACTCGAAGACCACATAATGAGTACTAAAAAACCTTCTGCATTTACAAGACAAAACTGTTTGTGCATGACATCGTGCCTTAGGGCAAATTGCTGGAACTTTCCGTACCATAATTTCAAATTTTTAATCAATAACAATAACCATATTTTAAATTTTTTTGTCAAAGCAATCGCGCAGTATAGCCAAAATGTTTTTGAATCATTCAAATTGGACGCTCCGTTCTCACAGTAACTGAATTACAATTTTTGGTACTTTTTGTGCCGTATCTTCGAAACGGTCAGAAACTAATCAGCACGTCTTTCCGTCAATAGGAATCGAATGTATTTTGAATAATTCAAATCGGTTGATCCGTGTTCTCGAAAAACTTGGCCCTGCACACCCACACACATTCATTTGTTCTAAGGTATGCCAAAATGTTCAGAAGACTTTGAAACGTAAAATGATATTTAATAGAAATATTTTTGATTTTTTGCGATTACTATAACTTACCTGACGGGTAGTTAATAATTCTCGACATATCTATACTGACTGAATTTATGAGAAAAATTATATTTGTGATTGATAATGTTGGCATCATTTTATATTAAACAAATTACATATTGCATTTCGTTGACGCATTCATTGTGTACATCGATATCAATACGATTATTCATGTAAGTATCAAAGTTTTTTAAGCTTGCATCATAAAAAATCCAAATTCTATCAAAACTTAAAACTAAATTACTCCCAGCCCCAAGTAATCATTCCCAAATGTCTAATGCATTCAAAAGGAAAGAGATTTAGCACCCTATCCCCATTTCAAAATTCATAATAAAACGTCAGACTGTAACTAATCGTAGTGTGAAAAATACTGTATGTTACGAAAGGGTGTGTATTAACGACAGTTGATAACTGTGTTCTTTCGTCATACGAATGTTTTGTGTGATATAAAATTTGGCGCGGTATATTAAATTCATAAAATGTTAACTTATGGTGAAAATAGTAATTCTGAAAAAATAATAATATTCGTATTGTATCATAGTTCATTTTTGGTGAAAATTATATTAAAGATGCGTCTCACCTAACGAACATGACGAATAATATGCGCAGACTAAAAAATTTCAAACAAAAGCGAACCACGCGCATAATATAGATCATGCTGCATGTTAGGTGAGGAGCGCCTTCATATGATTTACAATGAAAAAAAAAAACCACTCGTATTAACCTAGACTTATAATCATCAAAATCGGCTGAAACAGACAAGCACTAGCAACCTAGTTCAGCGATGATTTCATAAAATCGAGTATAGTAGGTGAGACTGGGCAACGGTTGTACCACTTTTTTTGAAAATTAATTTAAATGGTAATTTGAACATTTGTCTACGTGAAAATACTGAGATACTTCCTTAAATACGATGAATTTGTCATAAAATTGCTACAATCACTGAAAGGGTTTATAACGACTTTTATTGTCGTTGATAACAATAATTTACAGCACAACACGCCATAAACAATTAAACAAAGCTTATGAATAAAATATAGGAAAATATAACAAAACATTTTTCAATCAAAGTTCACAAGAATTCTTTGTGAAATCTTTTTTTTTCTTATATTGAATTTTTGTTTTCTTTTTTCTTCCTATTTTGTCTTAGTTAAGTTCGTTTTTTTTGTTATCTGTTAAGTCTTCACCCGAAAGGACAAGTTGTTCAACTTATTTCAAAATAACAAAGTAACCTATCTGTATACAAGTAAAAGTTATTATTAAAAGAAATTAAACAAAAAAACTTTCTTCTGACTCTTCAAAAGCAATGCGGTCTACAGATCATGTTAATATAAGACACTGACTGAAAGCAATAAGTGAATTGTCCTTTGGACCCTAGGGATCGTTACGTAAGCAGATTTATTACAATTATTTACCCCCCCCATCCCCCTTGTCAGCAAAAGTAAGCAAAGCTTTTAACCCCTACCCCCAAGCTCACGTAAACATTTTGCAATTAATGTAAAAAAATAAAAATACTACCTATGACGTAATCATCATCCAGACTCCTCTGCCCCCCCTATCAACCCAAAATAAGCAAATCAACAACCCCCCGCCCCCCTATAGTGCTTACGTAATACTTGAACGGCCCCCTATCTCAAAATCAGTATAGTTTAACTGTTATCACAAATGTCACTACCGTACCCTAGCACGACCGCACAACCGCACAATGAGCTTTTCAGCAACGGCACGAAGAAATTGTTTTCAAAACAAGGAAAAAACCTTTATTAGATACATATTGTTGCACACTTAGTATAGAATCAATTAATTTTGAAAACTATTAGCAAACGACCGAGTATTTTATATTCCGAGCTATTCTAATACAAATTTAAATATTTTATAAACTTCCTTTTATAGTGATCGCAAAAAAATCAGAAATGATCACGATATCGGGAGTACGGATCAACTGATTTCACTGATTCAAAATACATTCGATTCGTATTGATAGGGAAACGTGTTGATTAGTTTTTGGCTAAGACAGGCCCGACCGTTTCGGAGGTATGGAGCAAAAAGTTTTTGAGAAAACGGCACTTCCAGTTAGAATGATTTATAAAAACATTCTAAGCGTATTTATTGAGTGAATATTTGATTATATTTTTGTGAAGGCAGCTCCAGCGGTTTCGGACATGCGGAGCAAAAATGCAAAAAATAGCAATTTTGAGAGAACCGCGCATCCGATCAGGTTATGAATAGATGATTTTTTTTACAAAATATGTTAAGATAAAAAAAAATCAATTGAGTACCTGCCAATAATGCTAATATCGATAAAAACCTTTCTTAGGAAACTTTGGAAAATATTCGAAAGAAAGGCATTTTTAAAAAGAAATTCATTTATTGAATATAAAATATAGGTACATAATATCACTAATCCAATAAAATTTTCAAGAAAGTTATAATAAAAACTTATGCAAAAATAAGCTAAAACTATAAAAATAAAGAACAACTTTCTCGAAAAATTTATTATTATTTATCACAACGCATGCACTATAATATAATATCATATAAAAACTGAACAACATCCGAAGTAATATTTCTAACACATAAAACTTAAACAATTAACAATCTCAACCTTCGGGGTGTTCTACCTGTAATGCAAAATTTCAGTTAATTGAAAGAATTGACTCGACGAATAAGTGCGATTCTGCATTTCAAAACTAAACATAATAGCCAGAACCAATGTTTTATTGAGGTTCGTGTTGCCTATAATATACGAAATATTACTTTAGAAGGGAAACTTTTGGAAGGGCTCCTATTAGCCACTGAAACATATAAAATCACTCAAATTTTCAGTAGACCTTTGATCAATGCATACTTCACATTTCAATAACAAACTCAATGTTAAAATTATATTATAAAAATAGAATCGAAATTTTTATTGCGCTTGTGTATATTCTTATACTTAATTACTTAAAAATAATGTCTTAAGTATTCTAATACATACTTCTATAGAGATATCGAAGTTATCACCAAAACTATGGAGCTTTGAGATTAAGTGAAATTATTAAAATCTGCACTTCATTAAGGCATTAAGGTATAGATATAAATTAAGGAGATAAAAAAACATTGTCCGAACCATAGCTCCTGTGACCTTGAGATAATAAACGACCCTTGATGCTTCCTGGTACATTTCTTCTGGAAGAGCAAAATGATCTCAATTGAATCCAAATTCCCAATACAGCAGCAACCAAGCGCACCACCGAAATAATGCCATCTGATTCAAATAACCACTTGTTTAGATAGATTGAGCATTAATTAACGCACACTTAATGAGTATGGACGCTTTGGAAGCTATGCGAACCCTATATACAACTAAAATACTATCAATACTATCAATATGTATTATATTTCCCAAAAGTGCATTTTTGTATGAATTTAGATAACAAAAGTCTCAAAAATTCTCGATCAGATTAAGAATTCGCTACTGAATAAGATTCAAAGGCAGCTAAAATTAAAACCAAGTCTTCCCACATCCGACGATAATTGTTAAAATTTATATACCAATATATGATACGAGTGTAAAATCAATCGAGTGAAAAACAAAAACAAGAATTATGGAAAATATTGGTTTAAATAATATAAATATACGAAAGTAGCACTCCCACGTTGGTGTTGTATAATTCAAAAGTTAAAAAAAAAACATTATAAAAATATAAAGAAATATTATAGCACTTACCTATCCATTGGAAAGGTGGAGTAACAACGGCATACTTGAAATCATTCACGATCGCATAACGGATAGTATTAATTAAAACATATTGGAAATGTCCCCCGTAATAATAATCAATAGGCAACGACAGTAAAGTAGAACCAACAATAGCACTGCTAATTTCGTTGCCACAACAAGTTGTAATTGCAATAAAAATTGCCACCAAAATCGTAACAGCTATCATCACAGTGTAATATGCCGCATTGGATTGTACCAACTGAAGACTTTCTGAAAATAAATTGAATCTGCGTGTGATCGTTACATCAACGTAAAAGGAAAACTCATAGACATATTTGACATAAACTAAATTGTTGACAGTTCAAAAAATCAATTATTTTGGGCGAATTCAAAAAGAAACAAATATATTCTGAAATATCCAACTTAGGTTGTAAATCAAATTTTATTTTCGAAATATTAAAATTTCGGAAATTTCAATAACTTTTAACTATTATGAATTTAAAAAAAAAAACAAGACACTGCGAAATGACAGTTGTAAATGTTTCTAGAAAGTTCGGGATAAATCGATTTCTGATTTCACATTCACGATAAACGTCACAAAAATATTATAAATCACGAATTAAAATCAAAGTATTATATTATATTATATTACATTTGTCATAATTCGGTCAAAAACTTTTGACAGTAAAAAAAATCAAATATTTTTGGACAAAAGCTAGAAAGTCTCAAAAATCAGATATTTATGGAAAATTAATTTATTTGACATATTTGACATTAACAAATTTGAATCGATCCGTGTCAAGAATCAGATATTTCTGGAAAATTCGCAAAAGAAATATTAAATGCTATTGCAAATGGCCATTGGGATGTGATCAATGACACTATTCTTACCACAAAACATGTTAAAATGTTAACAAGAAAAAGAGAACGTAATAATATCATAGAAGAATAGAAAACCATTGCCGGTATAACACATTAACAAGTCAAAAAGTCACATTGCTATTCATAATAAATTTTGTATACTGATTTATAAAAAACTTGCATGGAAAAAATTTTGAAAATTAAACAAAAAATTTTTTAGGTATAACTTAGCGACAATTGAATTAAAAGTGAAAATTCGTGTCATTTTTTATTGAAAATTCGACGCCCTGCAAAATTTTTGAAAACTTTTTCATGCTATTTCCATACAAAACTTTGATTGAATTGCGCTCTATCTAAAAGACAATATTAAGAGCTAAAACTTTCAGAGAATTGTTTTTTTATCAATTTGGAACCATTTGAGCCCTTGGGAGCAAGGAAATTCGAAAATGTCCATATTAAGAACCACCCTATATATATATATATATATATATATATATATATATATATATACAAGAAAATGTTCAAAGATATTTGCGTGTTAAGTTTCGTGGGTAGCATACATTCGATTATCGATTTTTTGTCGTTGTTGTATACACAGTTTTAAGTGAATTATTTTGATGCGCTCTTGATAGCATTTTAAGACGTAAAACCCTTAAAAAAATTGTGTTACATGTAGGTTTAAAAGTTTCGATCACTTGAGCCAAAACGTTAGATTGAGATCGAATAATAATAATCGGCTATAGGAAGTCGCCCGGCCAAAGACCAAGACTATGGAGAAGTCGCAAAAGAAAACATTTCGGGTGCATTATGACAAGACGCAATATACTGATAGAGATACCAAATGGCAGAAACATATTTTATCTCCACGATAGCCCTCTAAAATTTGTGGGTTCAATAGAACAAACCCACCCAGTGATCATTTTCGAGGTCACATAAAGATATTTTTTGAGTTTGGTCAAAATCCTAGTCGCGTAAGATTGTTCAATAATTATTTCAGCTACAAGGTCTCATCTTTATCATATCCCATTTTTATCCAAATCGCGCTAAAAGAACACGGATTTAACGTACAATTCAGCCTATTTCGTAGTGCGTTCTATGGAAACAGATTAACGCGTTGTATAGGAACCGTGCTATAAGAAACTCAGAATTAGTACACAGCATTCGTATCGCGTTATCTCCAAACTGCGCTAAAGTTTTATGATTAAAGCAGTCGTCGCGCTTTATTCGCGCATAATACGATGTCTTGCATAACACGCCATGTTACGCGAGTCCCTGCAACTTAATACATACATAGTTTGATTTAGATTTGTTATCCTCTGTTTAATACGCTATGACAAAAGGCATTGTATCATCATAAAAAGAAAATCATAGAAGAAATTAAGAAAAATACAATCCTGATAGATCACAAGAGTTACATTTAACAGGGAGCTGCCAGATGCAACGCAAAAGTCGAATAAAGTTGAAAATCTTGTAATTGCTTAAGCATAAAAAATACTGTCAAACTAAAATAAGTGATTATTTTAAATAACGTAGTTATAATTCCACTACGTATATTTAATAAAATTTATAAATGTATAAATCAATATCTACAATACCAAAATTATGAAATATGTTTTTCCTATACGATTTCTAGCTTAAGACGGGATATATATATACGTACAACGTTCAACTGCATCATAATTTTTACAGTATAACAACATATAACACAATATCATTATACTTGTTTTTCTTTTTATGAACAAATTTTCAGTAATTAAATGCAGTAATTAAAACAAGCAAGTGCTTATTCTAAAATCAAGCAGTCAAGTGCTTATTCTAAAATACTAAACAAAATCAATTACCTGGAGAATAAAACACAATAGAACTGGCTAACAATAATCCTAAGAGCAATCCTGAAAATAGCAAACCCAAAAGTCGAAATATCATACCACTAAATTGGCAATAGCAAGCTGAAATACCTCCGATGGTGGCAAATAAAACTGAAATCCAAAGACAAGCTGCAAAAAAAAGAAAATGATTTTTAGAACAAAATATTGAAAAAAATATAATTGAATCTGTATTCAAATTGTATCATGATTATAAATATATAGTTAGTAATTACGAAGCAATATTAATATCTTTGTTTACTATACATTTGTTAAAATAAAAAAAAAATCTTTACATACAAGCTAATTCAATACATACAAGATAATATAAATTTATATTAAATTATTTAAAAGAAAACAATATATTCAAAACGATTTAAAAACATTTTATACTTGAAGATTATATTTTTAAAATGTTACTATTATCAGTTTAATTTTAGACTATGATTATTTAAAATTTTCATTTACGTGTAAAGTATTATAACGAAAATATTATATATTCTGCTTACCGTCAACACTCAAATAAAATGCAGTGGATGCAATATACGCCAATATACCACAAATGATACTACAAGTTCCCGCAATCTGGAGGAGCTCTAGTTTGTTTCCAAAAAAACACAGCGCAAAACCCAAGGCAAATGTAATACCACACAATACTTTTGAAAACGTCGTTGCTAAAAAGGAATCATCAAAATATTGTGTTGTTTGCAATAATTTACAAAGACAGCGAATAAAAATAATAGATTTTTTTTACCATAGTAAAATATTATGTTCTCTATGACAACTTAATGTAAGTTATATTTTTTAATTTTTCTGTCTACAGATGTTTGTATTAATGCCTTATTATACATATATTAATATTTTAAAAATAAATATGATAAAAAAAAGTCTTGTAAATGACTCATATTTTATAGTGATGTACTCGTATATCCAATGTATCAATCAAATATGATAAAAAGCTACCAACATTGAAAATTAATAGAAAATTAATTATAATTGTAATCAATCAATTATATTAATTATATCATCAATTATATTATATTAATACAAATAATAATGACTGATAAAACAATGAGAAAAATTCATAGTTATTAAAATAACTTAAAAATCACTGACTACACAAAATCGGAAAACAAAAAAACAAAAACTATTAAAGTTCTTAACATACTTAATTAAACATATATCATGTTTTATTTGTAATCGATTATGTAAGCAAGACTGAAAAACAAAATGAGGCACATATTTCCAACTCAAAGGATAAAATAGAAAAACAAAAATTAGTATAGCAAATTTTCTCAAAAATAACTGTAAAATATAGGTGTACAGTTCGAGGTATGTCTAATCACATATGAACCCAATAATATTATAATTATTCTTAAATATGGTATTATTCATTCTATGGAGGACATTTGCAAACATATGAGGCAAACATATAAAATCAAAAAATCGATTAAATTTAAACTTTTAGTACAAATCAAGTGTATATAATTATTACAACTCTAGTTTGTACACGTCTTTCTATTATATTATAACAAGGATAAGACTTCTTAGTAAATATCAGTTATGAAAAAATATATAATATATTATTCATACAAAAAACTCACGTAAAACATCACAGCTATTTTCGGAGAACACCAAACTACATGAGTAAGTCAAATATGGAACATACGCTGCTTTAAAAGTTGTGTTTTCTATAGAGGCAATTAAGGCAACCACAACACCGTTTCCAATAATTGCATTGTACAACCTAGTTACCGCTGGACCAAATTTCTGAGTACTCTTAAAAATATTTTTTTTTTATAACATATAGCCTTTTCAATATTTAATTTTTTTGAGTAATTACCAAAGCGCCATGCTTCATTATTTGCTCTACAGTTACCATATCTTTCAGATATTGAAAGTAACTTTGTTCTGAAAAATCACGGCTCGGCAAAAAATAATGATACCAATCATATTTAATATTGGGTCTGCCACAAATACTGTTTGGAACGGATGCTGGCGCAGCTACAACCTTATGTAAGTTTTGAATATCATACACTTGCAAATAAGAGGCTTGTTCAGTTGGAAATTCCATGTTACAGCCGCCTGGCACAGGGGCTAATAAAAAATAATATAAGTAAAAGTAATAATAGAATACCTTTGAAATATTTGGTCACGTTCTATACAAATACAAAATTCAATTTAAATCTTTATCGTACAAAATTATCAATAAGTTATGTAACAATCAATCTGAGCATGTTTAGAATGCTCAATGAAGTTATTGTTTATGACTTCAAAATTCTTTGAAACAAGTTTGTTCAAGGTATCGATGGTGGAATACAATAAATTGACACAAATATCATAGCGTTTTGGCCCAAATGTTGATGGGCACTTGTTAACAACTAAAATATATACAAAAGAACTACCTGATTCGTCATATGCTGTAACAATTATCATTATAGATATGTTAGTAAAGGGACCAGTATTGAATAAGTAAAGATCATTATCCTCCTTAATGTTTAATCCAACATTAGTTCCATTCACAGAATTTTCATAGGTCATATTTTGAGAATACGCTAAACTTATATTATAGGCATAAGCATGTACTTGCAGAATGCCGAAGCTGATATTAGGAGGAAAATCTCTCACTGATAATGTCCAGATTTCATTAGCAAATAAAGTGAATTGTTGTTCATAAGAAATTTGGTTGTGACCATTAGCATTTTTCAATGATATTTCCACTAGAAGTCAAAATAAACAAATTTTGGCTTAAAAAATATTGTTGAACATAAAACATATATAAAGAATAATCACCTGTACGATCCCCAAATACTTCAGATGCGGCAGAGCTTGTAATAAGTGTGGTTAAAGTAAACCAAATCACTAATCTACAGAACATTGTAGTATTTAAGTTTTATTTGTTAAACTCACTACACCGGCAAAATCACAAAACAACCACGATTCAATTAAAACTATACAATAACATTATCTACAAAAATTAAACAAAAGAACTGTCAGTGCTGCCACAAAAGGATCTGAAACACTGAATAACGTGTTTTATTATTTTGTATATTTCAAAAATAATGCACACAAAATTATTGGTAAACTTTTAATAGTGATATAAATTACGTGCATGACTGACATAACAACATAGAACAAATTATGAACTAAAACAATTTTATGAGTTAACACTGAAAAATATGAACAAGAACAATTTCACGAATACATCTTACAATCATATTATTATATTATCTAGAGTTACAATCATCATTTTCTTAATGAACTTCACCAACTCTTATTGTTATTGTTTGTGTTATTTTTTTATTATTGGCTGTACTGCGATTGGTATCAACAATACTGAACACAGCTGACTGTCATGTTGAAGTAAGTTCAAGATGGCGCAGTCGTCTTAAGTCAAATTAGTGTTTTAGTGCACGATAGTATAATTTTGTATTGTTTATGTAAAATGTGAGTGATAAATTAAAATTGAAGGATATGGGTAAAGACAGCGAGTTGTTAGAAGCTGCTCGGAATGGCAATGTACCAGTGGTTGAAAAAATTCTAGCCCAGAAATCTAAGAGGAGTGGCCCTCTGGCAAGGTGTGCAATGTTATATATCTTACGTTATTTGTTAATTTAATAGAAAACAAACATTGATTCTTACTTTTTCTGTTGAATTATATATTATAATATATAACTTTGTGAAATTTGTCTAATTCAGCATTCTTAACCTAACAATTGACATAAATCATAAAATATTGTGTATGTGTCAAATTGTCATTATGCAATTCTGTGTTTACATTATCGCATTTGTAATCAAAACATATTAGTCACATAATTCATTTATCTAACGGTAAACAATGCACCTTATTATCGCAACGGAATGTAACACATTAACTTATATTATTTATATCAAATTATATTGTATATGATTTATGATTTTACTATACAAATTTTATAAATTCAGTGTTTAATAATATAATGCAATATGATAAATCTAATAACTAATCTAAACTTGTATTTTAATCGTGCTGTCAATTTCATAGTCTTCGAAGAGGTGCTGGTGCTAATGTACAAGACAGCAGTGGTTACTCGGCTCTGCACCATGCAGCTCTCAATGGACATACGTAAGTTCTTCTTTATTATCTAGATAAAACTTTATTATTTTAATAAGCTGTGTTATTAATATTTTTTTTGTTTTTGGCTTCTAATATTAATGTTTTTTTTTTCACATTGCTTGACATGTAAGTGTCAATTTAATAATTAAAACATGAACCAATTACCTGGCTGCATATAAGTTAATGTTTAAAATTATATTCTCTCTCTCTCTCTCTCTCTCTCTATATATATATATATATATATATATATATATATATACATATATTGATTCTGTTTGTTTCGATGTTGATATGTATGTGACATTATTTGTTTTGGCCAATAAGTCGAATAAAAATATAAATAATAATATGATTTCTTTGTTGACTTTGGACCAGCTTTGACACTATGTTTGTGTCATATTAGAGAGAATACTATAAATATAACACTAGTACATTTTTTTTTAAATAAATAAATAAATACCTGTTAAAACTTTCCGAATACATTTTTAGATTATAAAAATATTTTAATTTTTTATTAGATTTAAATCAAATCAATTTGAGCATTTTTTTGTTTTTTTAGAAAATATTTTTATTAAATCTAGTAGTAACAAATTGCAAAATAAAAATAAAAAATCTCAAATTGTCAAAATGTCAAATTTTAAATTGCAAAATGAGTTAAGAATTGAGTATTATTTTAGATTTACAAATGTTTATTAAATTTTGATAGCTATCGAATAAAAATGCTGAAGAAGTTCGTTTATTTACGCAGGAGGAATTTAGAAAAATCAAAATTGATTCAGAAAACTTCCTACGATCAGTATTTTATTCCATGAATAATATTTTTGGATGTTTAACGGTGAAAGTATGATTAAATTTTTCTATGTGTTCCGAAAACATTGTTTTGTATTGATTAGGATTTTTTGAGTTATAGACATGCTGCTTCATTCTTTTACAAATATATTGTGAGCTTTCTCCAATGTAACAGAGGTTACAATCATTGCAGCTAATTTTATTTACAGAATCTGTAAATTTTTCTTTTGCTATTTTAGATTTTAAAACTGAAAGTAGAAAACTAAAAGATTTGTCAAAAGTAAAGACTAAAAGAAAACCTTCTTCGGAGAATATTTTTTTAAAAAATAAGAAAAATTTCCTAAAAATGGTAAAGAAATAATCCCTTTGTATTTATTAAAAAGGATGATGAATCATTTAAATTAGAAAAGAAACTATTGGCCAAAAAAATGTCACATATATATATATATATATATATATATATATATATTATGTATATGTATATATAGTTTAAATACTATAATTTTGTTTATCGTAATGCATTACCTTTATATAATTTTCATTTATACTTCTACAGAGAGGTGGTGCAGTTGTTGTTACTGCACGAAGCGTCGCCAAATATGGCCGACGCTCGTGGTTCTTCAGCTTTGCATCTCGCTGCTTGGGCTGGTCACGAAGACATTGTCCGAATGCTTTTGCGACATCCGCATAGACCAGCAAATCCAAACTTGCAGGTATAAAATTGTTTAGTATGAAAGCTCACACAAAAATCTATTCATTTATAAAAAAAACTGAATGATCTATATTCATTGCAGACTTCTGATCGCGAAACTCCTTTGCACTGCGCGGCACAACATGGTCACAGAGCCGTGTTGGCGCTTTTATTGCGTCACGATGCAGATCCATCGGTGAAAAATGGGCGCGGTGAGACGCCACTGGATTTAGCTGCACAGTATGGTCGCTTGGACGCCGTTCGAATGCTAGTGGGCGCTAGACCCGGATTGCTAGAACCATTAAAATGTCCAAGGACTGGAAATCCTTTGCCCCATTCACCACTTCATCTAGCTAGTCGCAATGGTCACAAGTAGGTTTCATATATCTCTAATGTTTAGTATTAGTTTTATCCAAGCAATACATAATTAGTTGAAAAAGCCGTTTGCAATCATAACGTTACCGATACTTTTTAATATAGGGTATGTAAATTTGCAAATTTTTTTTTAAGCTGACACCTAGTTAATGCTTCAATTGGGGTTATACTCTATACATCATAGAATAAGAATCTATAGAATCTATGATGAAGAGAAATCTTTTTTATGAATTACAGAGAAGTGGTAGAAGTTTTGCTTCAAGCTGGTGTTTCTGTCAACTTACTAACACCAGCCGGCACCGCATTACACGAAGCAGCTCTATGTGGAAAAGCAAACGTTGTCGCCTTGCTGCTTCGACGTGGTGCTGATCAAGAAGCGAGAGATGCAGCTGGTAGAACTCCATTACAATTATTGCAGCAATTCCCAGCACATGTGACGAGGAGCATAGTAGATGTTTTTAATAGTAAGTTGTATATTTTCAAATAAATGGTTTATAAATTTGCACTATTGAAAGTTCAATTTAGAATAGTATTCATATTGCAGCTTGTTTTATTTTAATATCCGTGCCGTACGATTATATTTCAAATAAATGGTATTGGTACATTTCCTCAATTAAGTTGACTTACAAGCATGGTGACAAAATATACCGAAAGGGCTTTTTATTATTAGGATTATCAATTATAAAATGAAGAGATTTTTTTAAAACATATATTATCGTCAATAGACTGAAATACTCTTTTTATATTTTTAAATATAAAATTTTCATATTTTCAGATCATCGTTCGTGTAATAGTTACGACATGGAAAGCGAAGATTCATCTCCTTTGCCACCAATTCCCCTTGGAAGCCCCTATGAGAATGTCAGGACGCATGGTTATTCGCCGACTCATTACAAGTAAGTTTTTTTTTATAAATTGTTGTTTTTGTTATTTTTATCAATAAATTTTTTCAAAAAAAAAATTTGATCCTCCACAACTAATCGTAGTTTTCAATAAAAATCGAATTCATATAAATTAAATCAATTTATTTCGTAAATTGTACTTATTCATTTCTTGTCATGAGTTTATGTGAACATTTATTAATTCTTTGACATTTTGATTTCGATTCAAACCTTGCATGAATATTATTTGTTGTTGTATATTTGTATAGGATTTCAGTTAGCAGTTGCACACACAGTATAGTGAAATTTCTTATATTTTGAATATTTTTTTTATTTATACCCATGATATGTAATCATGATTAATTGTGAACATGATTTAATACAAACGATCATTTTATGCGACAATAATTATATTCAATTTTTTAAATGCAAAATTAATATATGATTTTTTTTTTAATTCTGTAACCATAGGTCTTTGAGCAATTTGAGTATCGAAAGTCCGTATGTACCAATGTGGGGTTCATTTCGCTTTAAAAATATAAACGGTTCGACTCGATCATTACCTACGCATTATAAAGATACTGTGTCTTCAAATCATATTTCGAAATTATTCAACAAGGCTTGCATATATGATCCTTCTGTACGCCCGTTTAATGATAAAAAGAACGACGACGATCAATATGTTTTGATGAGTAATTTGTGTGTTAAAAGAAAATCAGTTTCATTTGAATCTTTTTGCGCTTCCGATAGTTCGCAGGTTAAATATTATAAATGCACATAGTGTGACTTGCTGTGAGATGGTGTTTTTATAGCCTATATATACGTTCCTTCATATAATAGTAATAAAAAATGCAATATCGTTTTTTGTTTTACTTTATTGAAATGTAGGCATATTTTTACTAAACCAAAAATGTGCAAATGGAAAAAATCTGTATTTCTGGAATATGATGGAAAAAAAAATTCATATTATTTTATATGTGATGTTGTTGGCTATTACCACGTTTAGTTTTTTTTAGATGTTTATACGTTTGATTATAATTTAAAATAGCCTTTATAAGTTTACGCATATTATTGCAAAAAGGGTTGGGATTAAAGAGAAGTTGCCTATGACTGTTATCATCAACATGTCAATACTGTTATCCCATTATTTTGTTTATTTATGCCTCACTGCAATTTCGAATTTTGTCACTCATAAGCGGATCAAAAGCCATTAATTTAACATATATTGGTCCATGCAATGTAGTGTGTTTTGTGTTTTGTATTTTCGTTCCGCTTGCATCATCACCTCTCGACATCATTTGCCAAATCGACGAATCGCCAGTGAATCGGCGCCTGAAGAATCGGCGAGCCCGGAAAATACTGCGAGTCCAGAACACTGCACTAGACCCGTCAGGCCGCGAGCTTGTTCCGCAGAGAATCGGAGTAACACGACGGACGGCTATGTAACTATGAATTCGCTGCAGAACGGACACGTACCCAACAAAGTATCGGTGAGCTGCTTTCATAGGATTAATAGAGTGAAAAATATCGCCGTCGATATTTATAATATGATTTTATTTTCAAGTTCAATTACAGGATCAACTTCAATCCTCTTGTTAAATATTGGGGGTATTCTACTGTAGAAGCATGAATTTTGCCCGGTTTTTGAAGCGCTGTATAAAGGAAACAAATAATATTTTTACTAGCGATTTTTTATCATTTGTTTATTGATATTTTATTATTACATAAAAAAATTATTAAAGAAAAAAATTAGAATTCACAAAGTTATGAGCAGTCAAAGTGGGGGCTCAAAAAAAGAGGGTGTCTTGGCGTGCATGATTCCAACCCTCCTGGTGATCCGAAACATAAAAAATAGATGGATTCTTAATTATTATAGATGCCGCTATCGTATGAACCTTGGATAAAAAAAAAAATTTGTTTGAATGGCGGCAGTTTGAAAAAAAAAATTTTTTTTTCATGTTTTCTTTTAACAATTCCGAATTTTTTAAAAATACTAAATGAAAAGTTATAGTTTTGGGAAAGGCGATAACGCGATGTATAGAGAAGGTCCTCTCCAAATTTGAAGTAAATCGGTTCATTAGAACTCGAGATATCTTTACCGCCAGCTCGAAAAAAGTAGTTCCGAGAAAAACGCGTTCAAAATTTTGAGACAAGTCGGACCCGAACCGAGGCCACGTCACTAAAACGGCTATAACTCAGGAAATAATAGTAATATTGAAAAATCCTTTTAATGACATATTTTTGAATAACTAATCTTTGAAAATATGAAAAAAAATTTTTTTCGATTTTTTCAAAATTCTACAGTAGAATACCCCCTTAATTGGCAAATTTAAATAAAAAAATTAAAATATAATAGGATATTAAGCTATATCATTATCATTTAAATGTTTTTTTAAGAGACATTGCTTATGTAAGAAACATTATAAAAAAATAAGTTACAATTTTGCTCTGTTTGACTGCAAGATTTTTCATTTCACATTACCAAGGAATGTGATTATCTGTTTTTAGCCCACTCCCCCAAAGAAGCCTCCGCGTCGAAATCTGTCAGTATCACCCACACATCTCACCCCGTTGTCTTCTTCGTGTACTGGTACAAGTACAGGCGCCGGTACGCCTGGATCGCTGACAGGCGCATACGAATACCTGTTCTTAGCACGAAGTGGGGTTCGCAGTCATGGGGATCTTGACACCCTTACTGCCGGCTTGAGTCTGGGTCAAGAGGATTTTTTGCGAGTTGCTGAAGCTTCAGATTACGTCCCGATGAGAATGCAGAATCCTCGGCGTAAACTTAAGCGGCATCCTGACGCATCTAGTCGCGGCAATGCATCTGTGGCAACGCCTTTGAGTCCGACACACTACCAACAACCGCCGACTCCTGAGCATCCACCACCATCAGCGCTTCAGGCTGAAAAGAGCATACATGAACGTATCAGGCCGCTAAGTCAGGTTTGTGAATAGAATTCATCTTATGAGAGTTATTCAAAGGTTTCTTTGTGTTTATAGTTTCAAATATTCAATTGCATTTTTGACAGACAGCGTTTATCCTATGATATCTACAGTATTTAGAATGCTTTTATATCTAATGTAAAGAATTTTTGTCAAGTGACAAATTATTTTATTATTCCTGTGACGCGACTTATTGTGATATTACACAACATAGACTGTGCAATTTTGACAAATCGTAATATTTAAAATGTTAATGTTACTTTATATATGATACCGGGGTTAATGAGTATTAGGAAATAGTTTTTATTTAGATGTAAATATAAACAAACCGACTTCCATGATTAGAGTTATAGTACCTATGTTAAAAATTGACCTAATATATTATGCTAATAATGTAAATTAGCATTTGTGATCATGTTGCCATTAAAATACATCTGCGTGTGGGGTGTACGATCTCTTATTGTTAGTATAAGAATTCACTTTCATTTTGTGATCATCTTCGTGATTTATGTTGTGATGTATAAAGTAAAATAATCAAATTGTTAGTAGTTTATTTAACACAATCGTTAATTCAAGTGTCCTTATAATAAAGAATATTATATAGCGTGATAACATCTTATAGAGTAATCAAAATATTTAATGCTTTCGCTACGGCAGTATTTTAAGCAGGAGTGACACTGCTGTATAGAGCAGCGGGCCTCCCAATAGCGCTTCTGAATGAACCAAGCACAAAAACATAATTTATCAGATCATTTAATTAAAATTATCAATAAAACTATATTTAAAAAATACAAATTTCACTTGTCAAGAACTAAAAATTATAATTGTCAATAATTTAACTCAGAGTGATGAATATTGAAGCCAGATTTGAAACACTGGATATCGTCTATAGGCGACACCCGTACATACAGGTCGTTATGTGAATATCGTCTATAGACGACCCTCGTACACACAGGTAGTCACGTGGATGTCGTCTATAGGCGACGCTCGTAGCGAAAGGATTAATAGTGATATAATGTATGCATTTTGTCTAATATTTCCGTATATTAAACATATGAATGCAATGTAGCATGATTGAAGCATGTTTATAGCCATTTTTGCATAATGAATGATTACAGTTTCGATTAAATATTATATGTATATGTATGTGCATTTTGTAGAAAACTCATTATATATCATTTATTGTGCATGCTGAAACATTTGGTTGGGAGAGGGCACTATATATGTATATTTAGGGCGGATCAAATTCTATGGGCCAAAAAGTTTATCGGTGCACATCGCGATATTGGTTTCGTTATTTCAAGAATTTCAAATAGTTGTTGTCTCTAAATATTTAAATATTATTTTACAAGACTAGGTTATAGAGATGATTGTCAAAACAAATTTCTTAAAATATTATAGGCTTTTGAAGTGTTTAACCTTTAAATATTATTTTATTTTTATTATAAGTTCATGTATAAACATTATTTCTCTATAAAATTTCACATGCTCAAATTCAGTTTCAAGCTGTGGTTTCTTCGGAAAATCTTATAGAACATGAATTGCAATTGTGCCCCTTCTTGTGCCAAATAATTTGACCCACTTTTTATATATATGTATATGCATATATGTATACATATATATATATATATATATATATATATATATATATATATATATATGTGTGTGTGTGTGTGTGTGTGTGTGTGTGTGTGTGCAATGTAAATATCTAAATTTGTTGTATAACTTACCCCAAACACGCACTCATTACAAGAAACTAGTTCGATGTATTTTCCATGAATTTTTATCCAACAAGAAGTACTTCATGTTTACTCTTCTGGGATTTTGATGAAACGCATGATGATAGATTTTAAAATCAAACTGAACACCTTAAAATATTATAAGCCTATGAAAAGTGGTTCAATTCTAAAAATTATTTAAAGTTGCGAAAAATAGATCGCGCGTGTACGTACGCGTATAGTGTTCCGTATCAATATGTCTCGATAGCTGCATCAATTAAAGAGCAGTCAGTTGCAATTTTTTGCAACTTGAATTAATTTTTATAGTATAATAGTTAAGCCACTTCTCATAGGCCTATAATATGTTAAGGTGTTTGGTTTGACTGCAAACTCTTCACCATGCGAAGTTTAATCAAAGTCCCTGAAGAGTAAACATGCGGTTTTCCTTGAAAGTTGAATCACAATAAAGTAAACAATTATAAAATCATGAAATATTTTTATTAATCATGATATAAATAAATCACCAATACGTTAAATGCATCATTGTAAATTTCTATGTCTTTGATTAACCTCTGTTTTTTTCTATATTATATGTAAATAATATTAGAATAAACTACTATATTGAAATCGAATATTTTAAATATGTTTTGTAATCACATTTTGAAATTCATTTGCTATAATAAAAGTTTCCCTAAAACAATGAAATATATATGAGGAGTTGGTGACTCAAGTGGACCATCACAAATATACCTGAACTCCATTGAACCATGTAGAAAAATTTGAAATTATATTATTCCTTTTTCTTACTATTTATATTTACATTATTTTACTTGATGCTACATAAGTGAAAATAGTCCCATAGTCTAATCTGGATTTACGTAAAACGTGGAACAACTTTATATTTAGAGATTTTTTGCTACAATTTAACGACACATATAAATATTATGTTCATTCTAGCAACGTTATTTAGTGAAAAACTTATATGCTTACTGCAACTCAGATTGCCCCGATTGCCCCGATGGACCACTCTGTTACCAACTCATGTCAACATTCAGTATTTTTCATATTATTGTAATATTTGTATGAATAGTGCTTATGTGAATACTAGTATTTAAGATATTTAGTATTGCTTACTAAAATATGTATTTTCCACTAATATATGTTATGTATTTTATATGTATTTTTTTATTTAAGAAACTCTATGCAATGTGTAAATTCTAAGTGAATTAATTATTACTTTATAATTAATTAGAACTTTCTGTTTTAAGTAGATTCAAAATGATGTGGTTATGTTTTTGGTATTGTTATGTAATTTAAATTGTTATTTGCATGCACATACATGCTATAAAAAGTTATTATGCACCATGGTATTCAATATTGTTTCGAAATAGTATAAGTATCATGTTCGGTGCTCTTATTTTGTTAAATAAAATTATAAAATTTATTTATTTTTTATTACGTGTATATTTTTATTGCGCTTCGTAATTTATTATAATTTTATTTTCAATTCATGTGAATTGCACTGTTATATATGTATTTGATCATTTGATCATAATTTTTATTTATGTAAATTATTTATATGTTTGCATGTTACTAATATGGGATGATAAGAGTTATTGAGACCGACCACCTAAGTAACATGAGCAGTAACGATGTGAAAAAATATATGTCTAAATGTTGGGTTTATATCTCATTGGGTTTGTTTTATCATTGTGGAGTTAGGAAAAATAAGTTACGTTTTATCAATTGATCGGATTAAAACGTTGAGTTGTTGCCAAATCCAGGCGATATTTTCGTTAACTTTGAAGCAATAATAATAACTCGTTATCTGATAGTTTTGATATAGAGTATATCAATTGAAATCGAAATATAAATTATTCGATTCCCGTTTGATAATTAGCTGAACAATATGCTCTTTTGTGTGTTTTTTTCATAAGAGCTTCTTTATTATACGATTTTATTGATGATTTTTTTATTTGGTAATCGTGGAAATCCTTCTTTTTCTCTTTAAATACGGAATAGATGTATTTTAATTCCTTCGCTACGAATGTCGTCTATGGACGACATCCCCTCCACTACCTGTGTGTACGAGTGTCGTTCATGGACGATATCCGTACGACGTGCCGTGTGTACGGGTGCCGACATGTATTGTATCGGTCTTTGTTTCAAAATATATCAATATGAGTTATACTATTGGTAATTTTAATTTTTAGTGTTTTTTAGTTCAATAGAAGCGCAAATTTTAATTCAATACATTTTTATTAATAATAATAGAAATATCTTAATATAAATCGTTGTGCCTGCTCCGTTCAGTAGCGCTATTAATGGACACGCCGTTTCGTACAGCAACGACACTCCTGTGGAAAACCCTCTCGTAGCGAAAGGGTTAAATGCTGTTAATTGAAATAAAATCATGTCAAATAAAATTGTCTGTTGCTTTTTTATACAATTGAATATCGATGAAGTTTGCGTTATCTATTTCAATTACAGGAATATAAGCGTCGTTCAATGCTAAATTCGATGGGCGGTGAGGCTCATCGCGAGTGTGAAACAGAAACCGAAACTGACCCCCGTGATTCAACGGGCGTTCCACTGGCTTCCCTGGGGGCATCGAGCGGGTCGCTTTCGTCCAGCGTGTCTTTGTCTGATCGAAGCGCCTCGACGGATTGCGTGGAGGAGTTCGTTGGAGATGTTCCTTTTGCAGGTTAGTGGAAATATATTTTAATTTTAAATATTGCACATTTTTAGTGGATTATTGGGGACAAGAAAATTGTTTCGCAAACATGTTTTTGCTGACTTTTGACGATTACACGCGACAGTTTCAAAGTTTAACTCGTCATAGGTCTGTCTATGAACTAGGCACAGCATACGAACGATGCATGCCGGCTATGAGCGACGTTTTCAATTATTCGTACATGACGTATCTCTATATGATCTATCAAGTTATAATTTAGGGTATTTTTTTTTTTTTGAAAAGTAACGACGTACGGGATTGATTCTATGTTTGTTGTGTTGCCAAAACATAACACGATCAATGTAAAACTGACGATTTAAGGGGGTATTCTACTGTAGAAGCATGAATTTCGCCCGGTTTTTGAAGCGCTGTATAAAGGAAACAAATAATATTCTTACTATCGATTATTTTATCATTTGTTTATTGATATTTTATTATTACATTAAAAATTATTCAAAAAAAATAAAATTCACAAAGTTATGAGCAGTCAAAGTGGGGACTCAAAAAAAAGAGGGTGTCCTGGCGTGCATGATTCCAACCCTCCTGGTGATCTCAAACATAAAAAATAGATGGATTCTTAATTATTATAGATGCTGCTATCGTATGACCCTTGGATAAGTTAAATTTTTTTTTCCATGTTTTTTTAACAATTCCGAATTTTTTAAAAATACTAAATAAAAAGTTATAGTTTTGGGCAAGGTTCACGCGATAAAGCGATGTATAGAGAAGATCCTCTCCAAATTTGAAGTAAATCGGTTCATTACAACTCGAGATATCCTTACCGCCAGCTCGAAAAAAGTAGTTCCGAGAAAAACGCGTTCAAAGTTTTGAGACTCGGTCGGACCCGAACCGCGGCCACGTCACTAAAACGGCTATAACTCAGGAAATAATAGTAATTTTGAAAAATCCTTTTAATGACATATTTTTGAATAACTAAACTTTGAAAATATGAAAAAAAAATTTTTCGATTTTGTCAAAATTCTACAGTAGAATACCCCCTTAAATAATATCTCAGTTTTCTAGTCACTTCTTCATATTCTTTCATTTTATTTAATTTTTTTTCAATCTTTCAATTGTATTTTACCGTTAACCATAGATCTCTTTGCCTTTTTTGTAATATATTAATTTGGAAGTTAAGCAATTATCACAATGTCTTAACATGCCTTCACTCTGACCTGTCTATTTTTGAAAATGTATGTAAAGGTAGCCGTTTACGAAATAGATTAGTGATAACGATTTTTAAAATATCTTAATGTTTCGCAAATTTAGTTTCGTCTTCTACTTAATTTCCAAATTAAAAGTAACTAGATGAAGTAACATTTTGCCTTTAGGCAAGTTGTAATAATCGGTTTAAACAATAAGGTTTAAGATGTAGCAACTTATAAAATTGTGACGATATTTTAAATTGATAAATTGATAAATTTTGGAGAAACGCGTCCCACAATTCCACATTTTGATGAACATTTATAATTAAACTCCATTTTGTAGTCTCATAACATAACAAATTATGAATATCAATATAATGAAATATAAAATATTATATTATCATATTCAATATTAATATAATATTTTAGCATGTTCGTTACGACGATGAATTTTATCATTATTCAGAGTTTTATCATTATCGTGTAAAAAATTCTACAATTAATTACGAAGAAACAACAATGCCGATTTTTACCAAAAACCAAAATCACCATGATTTTTTTTGATATTTTTTGAGCAGTTTGTGAAATTTCAAAAGCGTTTCTGGATTTTTGATGTAGATGAAAAGCTTTGCACATTTCTGCACTTTGCACAATTTGGCACATTCAGTCTAAAGAAATGGCTCGACCGTTAGGAATACTTAAAACATTCAGGAAACATATAATTAGCAAATCGGATTTTGTGGCGAAAACAAACTTCTCGTTCGGAAAGTTAGTAAAATAAAATTTTATTTCCAAAGTTTAAAATATTTTTGCATATAATTGTGAAGTGAAAGAATTCATAGAACTTATTTTTTTTCATTTTTACTTAGATAATGTTAAGTAATAATTTATATACTGTTGAGAAAAGTAAAGTGAATCAAAAACACATAATAACACAAATAAAATTTGAACTCAGATATCCCATTTTTTGGAGATAGTGATATTTTAACCCTCGGTAGCTGGAGTTTTAATATATATACTGTTGACAAAAGTAAAGTGAATCAAAAACACATAATAAGATCAATAAAATTTGAACTCAGATATTCCATTTTTTAGAGAAAGTGATGTTTTAACCCTCGATAGCTGATGCTTCGCGGTAGCTTTGTATGAATTATATTTCCTAATTTGAATCGAATTTGAATGATTCTAATTCTAGATCTACATTATCTTACTATTGGTATGTTGCAACATATCAAAATAGCATAACGAAGTTTTCGAATCTTGTGATACGATATCAAATTTATGAGCATGTTGCTCAAATATCATGTTTCTCTCTCTCTTGCAACAGAAAAGTCGTTCTTGAGATATCTGGAGAACAATACAACATATTTGTTTTAATTCCAGAACATCGTGTAATTGTATGATTATTTTTCTTTAATTATTCAATCATTTGATGTTATTTGAATTTTTTTTTTTAATCAACATCCCAATTACATATTATATTATTACATATTATATCATAAACTGTCATACTAAAATTATTCACAATGAATTTTATCTCTTGCTAATAAATTGCTTTTATCTAGCAAAACAATTTTTCATTAACTTAATTTCAATGATCGTTAATATTTTGATTTATTTTTTTAATTTATTGCGTTTGCTGGTACGATATTTAAAAAAATAATCTACTATCATAAAGTTTATTCCCTCTTGATAGTACGTATGTAATGTACTAATATAATGTTTCTATGCAAGAAATCAGGTGTTTCAAACGATCAGTTGTCAGCTTGTATAAATTTATGACTGCAATACTACATATTATACGCATCAATGCCAACCATTTCTATAAGGCGTATAATTTATTCAAACATGCATTTATATTAATAAATATGCGAAAACAATTGGTTTAGTTTTGCGATTTATTGTATGAATGAGATCAATTGTACCGTAAAGAAATAGGCGTTGAGGAAGGTTACCGAAGGTATCGAGAAAAATACTAGACGTGATAATTTTTTTTCATATTGTTTTTTTTATATGCCTGTTTCGTTCTATTATTAATTGTATTTTTTTTTTCAAAAATGAAATGACACAAATGAATTTGATTTGAAAATATGCTCAATTGCATAAACTTTTTTTTGATAATGTCATATAAAAATTTGTAGTACGTAATTTGCATAATCAATAAAACCAGTAAACAATAAATTAAGTATAAAGAAATCTTATAAATTCTTATAAAGAAGAATCAAAGAATCTTATAAATTTAAAAATCACGTAATAAAAAGTAATTAAAAACGCATTGCACTTTGAACTAATTTAAAAAAATGGATGCAATTATTATGGTTAAAATGCCTGCTGTTGTTTAAATTATTTAGTATTTTCAATTATGTTTCACTGCATTTTAATTAGTATCAAGTCGTTTGGAAATTTATTTCGTTGATTGCAATTTCATACAAAATTTATATAGGGTTTTAAACCTATTATTATTGTTAAAGGATTGTATGTAAAAAAACTTCTATTAGTTACTACCATACCAATTTAAGACGATGGAAATGTGTTGAAGGGTATGAAAATTTTTATCAATCTAGTTTCCAAGAATTTTCTTTGATCAAATTAAATTGTTTATGGCTAATTTTTGACTCGTAGAATTTAGAATTGAATGATGTATTAATTGCTAAAAACTCGGTTGCTGGTGTACAAGTTCTCATCTCAAAAAAAATCTAGGCTTTTAAAAGTAACCAATTTATCCTCATCTATTTGTTGTGATTAGTGTTCTACATATATAAAATCTATTCTGAAACCTCGCTAATAAAATAAACAAGTGTTAAATTTACTCGTTATATAATGCGGCGGATTACATCTACTAAATTCATTTTCTTACTTCAAAATCAAACTAATAATTAATGAATAATTCTTAAATACTTGTATTTAAATTGAAATCTGATTATTCATGTGATATGCATTTTGCTCAAGGATAAAATAATAAGTGCTTAGTGCATTGATAACTACTATAAATAATGGCAGTTTGCTAATCGTACAATTCTATATATCTAATTATATAGCTGATTTGTATTTAACTCGTAATTTAATCTAATCATAAAATATAATTAAGACATTCACTCGTTTCTGAAAGAAAATGCACATGTTACTCAGACCACATGTGTTCAAAATCAAATGGAAGAAGTTAATCGAAATATGTTCGTTGTTTATTTTCACACCTGATAAAATAATTTTAACTAGCAGACTAATCACTGATCGTTTATTCGCATTCTTCTATTTGTATGTTAATACATAAACTTAATAAAAACATGATAGATTGTTAATATTAAATCTGATAATCAAACTTTATTTTGTCTGTTTCTGAATAATTTCTTTTAGTTTCTTGAAAATTCTATTTAATATTTTTTTTATTAAAAGTTTGAATATTTAGATTGATATTAATTAATTATGCGATAATATGTTCAAAAAATTTAATTCCTATATAAAATTAATGCGTAAAGATATAACTATACACATTGTGATAGTATTGAGCCCGCTGTAGCGTAATAAGGACGTGTGCTAGCACAAACTAGTCCCAACCCCGGTCAGCACGATATCAGGCAGCGTGATATATTTCAAATTTAATCTCAAATGATAATCGCCTTAATTTCGTGGCATGCAGTCAAAAAAAAGTCATATAAAAATATGCAGTCAAAAATACTATTAAGCATAGTCATAATATGTCAGAAATAGGATATTGACAACTGCTGGGTTGCTTTTCAAACAAGTCATACAATAATATGTCAGAACAATTTCTGAATGTCCTTGTAATATGGGCAGGCTGTAAATGAAAAATAATTAAAAATAACA